TGACCTGTGCTGGTGGGAAGATTACTTGCCTAATTAGGTAAAGAGCCTTAATGCCCATGTCCATGCTTCAGCCCTAATGAGCTGTTAATGGGAAAGGCTTGCCCTTGGCCTAGCTCCCCAGCTGACCTTCCCCTGCCTGGTGGGAAGGACCAGGGCAGCAGACAGAATCTTGTTTCCATGGAAGCTCATCCTCTGGCTTTCTTTCCAGCACTTGAGAAGATAATTACTTGATTTCTCTTTATATTTTTGGATTTCATGCAGTGGGGCTGTCAAGCCTTGGGCTGAGGATGTCCTTCTCGATCATGCCAGGCTATTTCAGGGAACTTCGGCTGCGTTTCCGTTGTCTCTTCCCTTCAGATGGCTAGCGTCAGGCCGCAGCGGCCGTCTTCCACTCGTTCCTGCTAATTAAAGTCTGAGGGAGCAAAAGGACTTGACCTGGAGAATGTGAAAGAGAAACCAGGGAAATTTGTCAAGAAATAAGAGCCCCTGATCACCTTCCTTTCCTGGGCGGATTCTCACAACAAGACCTCAGATCCACAGCAGGGGCTACTGGGTCCCATCTGCCCTATTCTCCTCTGAATCTCTGACGCCCCATTGTGGCCCATGTCAGAAATACAGCCAACATGGGCGGCTTAATAACACCGGGGCAGCCACCATTTCCCCAAGCTCGCTGCAGGCGGAGCAGTGGGCTGAGCCCTTTATATCCCTGTCTCGGTGAATTCTCATGACAGCCTTACATAGAGTTATTATCCTGATCACTCCGATGGAGCATAGAGAGGTTAAGTAACTGCCCAAGATCACACAGTGACTAAGTGGCAGAGCCAGGATAAGGACACACCCATTGCTATCATTTCTTGGAAGTGGGGTGAGGGTCCTTTACAGCTGCCCCAGAAACCAGAAGAAATCACCAAGTCATGACAGGTGGCGAAGGGTAGATCATTTAGATGTTCCTCCCCTTCACTTCCCCCCCCTCCCCGCCATCTCCCCTCTCCCGTGGAGGCTCTGTGTGTGAAATCGGCCCATGTGTACAAGGAACAAAGTGAGGGCATTGGGTTAGTTCACTGTCAGGACCAATTCGAAAACCAAACAGGGCATTTGAGAAGGAAGCCCATGTAGCACAGAGCAAAGAGCTCCACTTGGAGGAGGGCAGACTCCCTTTTCAATGGCTCACATCACTTTCCCAGCGGTGGGACCTGGGGCACACTCCTGAACCTGACTGAGGCTCAGGCTTCTCACCTGTAAAATGGGGTCATAGTGATACCTGCCTCATAAAGTTTGTGAGATTTCTAAGACTGCTCTGGGACATAATTGTGTAAAAGACAAAGCTAAATGCAGTGAAATAGTCTTATCTACTCTAGAATTTCCCAGAATCTTTATTTTACTGACATGTATTATGAATGTGCAGGAGGGAGCAGCATTTCCTGAGCCCAGAGTTCTCTTTTAGGAAGAATTAACATTAACATCTGTTTCTTGGGATCCTTTAGAATAGGACATGGGATACTTGGGCTTGATATAAGCACCAATAAATACCAATGTCCTCTTTTGTGCCTGAATTGTTCAATAATCATATCTGTTCTTTAAGGAATTTAAATGTCATAGAAGCAGGATCTGGGTCTGCCTTGTTCTTTTTGGATCCCAGTGTCTTGGTGTATCAAGACATTCCATAGACATCTGATGAATGAATGAGTAAATGAGTGAACTGATGAATTAATGAATGAAGTTTAGTGTAGACCTAGCCTGCTTCGTCTTCAATAGCGTCATTCGCTGCTGTTTTCTAGTTGCATCCGATGGGGCCAGTGGGAGAATTCAGATGCCTCTGTAAATCTTAGTAAGGGGGATTGTTCTATTATGCTATTTTCCCCTTTTCAATTTTTTAAATCATTTTTTATTGTTAACATTAGAGACCTGATGCACAAAATTTGTGCTGGGGCACACCCCTTGAAGCCCCAGCTGCCTTGGTCCTCACAGCCCCAGCTTCATCTGGAAGGTCATCTGCACAGTTGTTCTGCTGTTCATCTATTGTAATTAGCATATTAGCACTTTATTATATAGGATTATAATAGATATTCTATTTTCCCCCCTTTACCCACCTCTACCCTGCTCCTGTCCTGCCTCACTCGAGCCATCTCCACACTGTTGGCTATGTCCATGGGTTATGCATATGTTTTCTTTGATCAAACCCTTTATCTTCTTTCATCCAGTCCCTCCCTCCTCCTCCCCTCTGAGAGCTGTCAGTCTGTTCTTGTATTCATGCTTCCTTTTATATTTTGTTCATCAGTTTGTTTTGTTCATTAGATTCCACATATAAATAAGATCATATGGTATTTTTCTTTCTCTAATGGGCTTATTTCACTTAGCATAATAACTTTCAGGTCCATCCATATTGTAAAATATAAGATTTCCTCGCTTTTTATGGCTGTGTAGTATTCCATTGTGTAAATGAACCACATCTTTTTTAGCCACTCATCTACTGATGGGCACTTGGGCTGTTTCCAGATCTTGGCTATTGTAAATAACATTGCTATGAACATAGAGGTTCATGTATTCTTTCTGATTGGTGTTTTGAGATTCTTAGGATATAGTTCTAGAAATGAGATCACTGGGTCAAATGGCAGTTCCATTTTTAATTTTTTGAGGAAACTCCATACTGTTTTCCACAGTGGTTGCACCAATCTGCATTCCCAGTAGCGTTCCCTTTTCTCCACAACATTGCCAGCACTTCTTGTTTATTGATTTATTGATGGTAGCCATTCTGACAAATGTGAGGTGATACTGTGGTTTTAATTTGCATCTCTGATGATTAGTGACATTGAGCATTTTTTCATAGGTCTATTGGCCACCTCTATGACATCTTTGGAGAAGTGTCTATTCAGGTCCCTTGCCCATTTTTTAATTGGATTGTTTGTTTTCCTGGCGTTTGGTTGTATAAGTTCTATCTATATTTTAGAAATTAATCCCTTCTCTGATGTATCATTGGCAAATATGTACTCCCATAGAGTGGGTTGCCTTTTCATTTTTTATGGTTTCTTATGCTCTGCAGAAGCTTTTTAGTTTGATGTAGTTCAATTTATAATATTTATTTTTTTCTTTGTTTTCCTTGCCTTAAAGGCTTATCAGCAAAAACACTGCTACAAGAGATGTCTGAGATTTTACTGCTTATGTTTTCTTCTAGGATTTTTATGATTTCATGACTTAAATTTAAGTTTTTTTATCCTTCTTTGGTTTATTCTTGTGTATGGTATAAGTTGGTGGTCTGGTTTCATTTTATTGCATGTACCTGTCCAATTTTCCCAGTACTGTTTTTAAAAAAATCTTTATTGTTAAAAGTATTACATATGTCCCCTTTTTTCCCCATTCCAGTACCATTTATTAAGGAGACTATTTTTACTCCATGCTTTTGCCTCCTTTGTCAAATATTAATTAATCATGGATTGATTTCTGGTCTCTGTTCTATGCCATTGGTTTATATGCCTATTCTTATGCCAGTACCAGGCTATTTTGATTACAATGGCCTTGTAGTATTGTGATACTTCCAGAAAAAAAGTCCCCAAATAGCTTCAGCAATCATGAGAAAGAACAAAGTTGGAAGTATCACATAGATGACATTTCTTTAGCACGAACCTGGATTTTCCTTTTCAAATTTCTGAATAAAAATGTCATCATTTTCAAGTTTATGAATAAAAGTAGCTTTTAAAAGAAAGGTACTTAGAAAACTCACAGACTTCCTATGCTACTTTTTGTTGTGAGTTAATATATACTAAAAAGAAGAATAAAGCCCATCCTAGTTGAATGTTATTTTCCTCTACTTACTAACATTTACTCTGGTTAAAATAAATAATAAGTTACTTAGCAAAGCAGACTCAATTACAGTTTGAAGGATGACATTGGGCTCATTTAGAAATAAAGGAAGAACTTCAATTCACAGGACAGGGATTAGCAGCTCTGGCCTGCCACCTATTGTTGTGCATAAAATTTTATTGGAACACAGCAGTGCTCATTTACTTACATACTAGAGGCCCAGTGCATGGAATTAGTGCACTGATAGGGTCCCTAGCAGCTGCTGGCTGCCAGCTAGAGCCTCCATTTCTTCCCCCAGCTGGCCTCACCCCCTGGTCGAACTCTCAGATGACCTCCCAGTCAAGGGGACAATTTGCATACAATGCTTTTATTATATAGGATTGTCTATGGCTGTTTTCTCACTTCATTAGTCACTGCAACAGCGATATATCTATGGCCCGCAAACCCTACGATATTAACTATATGGCCCTGTAGAGAAATAATTGTCAATATCTTTCATAGATTTATAGAAATATGTGGAAAAGATGGAGATTACATAACCACCACCTCCATTCTGTAGATGGGAAAATTGAAACCAGAGATATTAAGGAATTTTCCATGTTTATTAATGCTTGCATGTTCTGATCCTTATATTATACCATAATAGCTCTAACAACCATGGAAGACAAAGATAGATTTCAGCTTAGACTGCAACCCCAGCTGAGTGGCAGTGGCCCTCTGGAGTGCTGGTTGGGAAGGCTCAGTGAGAAGGAAAGCAGTGGCTGACTAATCTTTCATGGTCCATCGATGGGAGAGCACAAGAATATGTGCCATGTAGGCACTATGGCTGCACACTCTGCTCCATACATTTAACAGTTAATCTCTTTCCTTGCATATCTGCTGTGTAAGCACTTTCTTCACTGGGCCAAAAGCAGAGGTGCTGTATGGGGCCTCCTTGAAAACACTGCTGCCTAGCAATTCATACATGATTCTTGTACAAGTTCATTCAGATATCTTTCTTAGCAACTGCCAACCACTTCACACTCTCCCTAAAAGAATGTAACATGGGATTTCCTTGAAACTGAACTTGTCTGTTACAAGAATTTTTACTTTCAGTGAAACATGTCCATGGAGCACAGAGTGGGGGGTGTGAGATGGAAAACCTTGAGTTTATTGGCTTTTGTGATGCAGATTGAAGGTCTTCATGTTTGTGTTTCTTGCAGCTGGACAATCCGGATGAGCAGGCAGCACAGATCCGACGGGAGCTGGATGGACGACTTCAAATGGCAGACCAAATAGCCAGGGTAAGGAGACTGGGGACGTTTGCTGGGGGACCAGGCCAAAGTCCCCCATGGAAAGACACAGTATTAAGAGCCATCAAAAGATAAAACTGAGGATAATCACTCTGAGCCTCCACCTTCCTTTCTTAGGGCAACTCTCCCAGATGTAGCACATGTTATTTCCCAGACTCTATTCATTACCCAAACTCCAGCCTCACTTTTCTGCTGAGTCTCAGATTGATATTTCCACTGGCTAGTGAACATTTCAGCTTGGACAGTGCCTGGTATTTCAAAGGGAATGTGTTCAAACTCTGACTTCTTTCTTCTTCCTCTGACCACATATATATGCCTACATTTATCCCCCTCACCATTCTCCACCAGGTACTATGGATGAAACCTCCTAATCAGTCTCAACTTCTCCTTCCTCCCCACAGCACTCCACATCAACCACCCATCCAGTTCATTGTCTCTGCCTCTTAAAGGTGGTTCAGATCTTGTACTGCTTTCTAACAACACAGCTAGCACTTTGATTCAGAACCTCATCTTCTATTCCTGAATCTTAAAATGGCCTCCTAATGAGTATCCTTGCCTCCAGTCCCTCCCCCTCTCCTGTCCATTCTTCATGCAGTTGCCATTCTAAAACTTATATATGAACATCTCAAAACAGCCTCAAAAATCATTCCACAGCACTCCCTATTGTCCTCCAAACAAAACATTACCTCTTTAGACTGGTACCCAAGGGTCTTAATCCATGGATTATATTCTTCCTTATTAGCATCACCTCCCACATCTTTCCCACCAGAAATCCCCACTCCAACTATGGAGAATGTCTCCTTCTGAATATTCCAGGCCTTTTCCAGCCTTATTGCCTTGGTACCCACTGGTGTTTCAACCTGGAATGACTTTCTCTCTCCTCTGAGTCAGCCTCCAGTACTCATCTTAAAACCCTTCTCTAAGAACTTAGCAGTTATTTCTTCCTACTTTTGAGCTTTATTCATGCCACAGTACATTGAATGGTAGTGATCCATTTACATGTCTGAGCATCACAGTAGATTGGATTTTCCAGGATTCAGATTATATCTTACTATTAATGACTATTGGCCTAAGTATTGTTGCTATCCCTGTCATTTGTGTTATTATTAACAATAGAAATGCTAGCAGTGTGTATTGATTGCTGACTCTGTGTCAACCATTCTAAGTGCTTTACATGTACTATCTCATTCAATTCTCAAAGCTACCTTATGAGGACATTTCCATTATCACTCTTGTTTGGAGATGGTAAATCCAGACTGAGGAACTGTTAAGAGGCTACACTGTACCCTTAATTCAAGTCTGAACTGGAAAGGGTGAGGTACTCAGCTCAGTAGCAAAATCTAAAAGTGGGGGACAAATGCATTCATAAAAAATATATAATATTTTAATGCAATATTTTACACTCATAATTAATACAGAAAACATCTATAAAAAATAAAAATACCAAAATATTAAATAACCTATCTTACTGTTTCTATGGTAGTGACAGACATGTGTGCATGTTAGGGTAGGAGCTGTGGGAGAGGGGAGGGAGGGTGGGCAGAGAGTGGAGCTTGGCATTCAACCTTTCTCATTATGGAAAGAAATATCTCAGGACGTGGACACAAGGAAAGGAATTCTACTGGAAGAGAAACTGAAGAGAGATTCCAAGAAGCATGCAAAGCCCATTTGTGCTCAAGCAGTTTAATTGAAATGTTTTGTATCTTGTTTTTGGACACCTTCAAAGTTTATAGTACAGTCAGCTTGGCGGTTAAAAATATTATGCAGTTATGGATTTGGCTAAAGGTAGTATAAAAGGCTCTTGTGTTTGACAATTCTGCTTAACATGGGAGTAAATATCAATGAGGCTTTAGAATTTACTTCGGCAAACTCGGTGTCTCCACAACAAATTATGTTGAAAACGGAGGTCATTTGCTCCATTACTTGCCTTTAGGTAATAATTGCACCCTAATCTAAGTATTCATCCCATTTAAAGAAAATCACACACACACACAGACACACACACACACACACACACACTTCAAAAACAAGATCATGGCACCTGTATGTTAGTCGTTTTGTTTACTTTGAGGCTTAACATGATAATTTCAGAATCTAGAGTAGGCTAATTGTAGTGGTTAAAAAACCATGGATGAACAGCAGTCATAGAGTGATCCAAGTTCCTCATTCATCTCTGAACAGTATATTGAAGAGCTCTCTTTCCAGCCCACACCATCAGATATTCTGATACCAAGTAGGATATTATTAACAACTTACAATTAGATTTTCTTAGATAATGAAATAGGCAATTAAAGCAAATCTTGGTCATTATTTATAGAGCATGGAGAATAATTTCAAAGTAGATGAAAGGCCCCCCAAAAGTTTAGGGTACAGAGGATTTGTATGAAAATCTGCCCACTACTATCTCCTGTTCTGCTCAAAATAGATTGCCGTCATCAAGTCTCATTCATGCCAGTGGCCTCTTGGCCCAGTTAGTTGGTCCAGGAAGTGAGCTCGTCACCTAAGTGGAACCAGTGGCATTTCTCAGCCTGCCGGGCCATGGTAACTGGGCCAGAACAGGATGCCTGCCGAACGCAACTAAACCAATGAGTTCTTTACCTGGTCTATGGACTGCACACCAATAGGACTGTGCCTTTCAGGGGTAGAAGGATGTCTGAAGCTATTTTTAATTCTTTTATGTAGGGACAAGAAGAGGGAAGAGTGAGGCCAACACAGAGAAAGAACCCGCGAAGGGACTATACTGAAATTCTCAGGATGGTCAAGTCCCTGGATCTACTTATTCTTGAGACTCAGCTGCGGAACTGCTTTTCCCTCAGTTTAGTTGGGTTCCAAGAAAAATGCATGTTCTTTTTGGCTTAAACCAGCTAGACATTAGAAAAATACATGTTCTTTTTGCCTTAAACCAGCTAGACATTAAGTAAAATATCAAGATCTCAGATATTGGCTCATTCATGAAGAGATACTGAAATGGGTACCCTGCTCTCTTCTCTCTGCATGCCCCGATTTTCCCATCTCCGGCAGCCCAGTGGATTTTAGCAAGGGTGTGCAGCTCAGCCCATGTGGCTGAACATCAGCTTCTGTACATATGATAACCAGAAATTTCTGGGTGAAGATATCATCCATAGAATTCACTTTGTTCTCTCAATTAAAACTAGGTAGAACATTTTGATTGAAAGTTAGAGGCGTGAACTAGAGGCAGTTTATATAACAGAGTGGATTAACTCTAGGGATTTAGGAGTGTCTCACAGAGCCCATGGGCAAGATGCAGCCAAAACCCAGAAAGGAACTAGAACCAGGGCCCACCAACAGGTCAGGACTTCCCTCATCTCTTAACTCTGTGTGTCCCTTTCATTTTTCCTTCTTTCTCTGCAAACCAGCCTTCTTTGCTTCTCAGATGGGAACATGGATGCTACACAGCTCTCCGTGTTCCCAGTGTGGCCAAATTGGAAATAATTTAGCCAATCAACCTCTCTCTCAAATCTTCTCCCTACCTCCCTTTGCCCTTTTCTTACTACCACCTTCATTGTCATCATTTCAAAAGGTAGGCCTCTGATTGGCTGACTTTGTTTAAGGCCCAACCCCTGGAGCCATTTATAATCCACTGTGGAAAGAGAATGAGGGCCTCAGCAAACATGGAAGGTGGAAATATGCTACTGAGGGTGAGAGTGGTACCTGAGAGGTCAGGCTGTGGGTGAAGTGGTCATTATGAATTGAGAGACACCTCAAGATATGCCCCAAATAAATAGCTATGACTAGTAATAATTAATGTCGTTTTCTAATACTTTTTTAAATCGAATTTATTTAAACAATACAACAAAATTTAATCAATAATATAGTTGCTGTTGTTTTCTACTACTTGTGCCCAACGCTCAGGAAGCATTTTAATCCCTCTGTTGTAAAATTCTTGTGATTTTGATGCAAAAAATTCGGTCAATGCATTTTTGAGGCATTCTTCATTATTAAATTTTTTTCCAAGAAGAAAGTTTTGCAAAGAACGAAACAAATGGTAATCAGAAGGAGCAATATCAGGAGAATATGCAGGTTGAGGGAGAGCTTCCCATTCCAACTGGCGCAGTTTTTCAGCAGTGATTCTTGCAGTATGCGGTCGTGCGTTATCGTGGTGAAGAATTACGCCCTTCCGATTAATCAGCGCGGGTTCTTTTTCTCTTAAAGCTTGGGCTAACCTTTCCAATTGGGCACTATACACTGCACTTGTAATGGTTTGGTTAGATGGTAAAAGTTCATAATGAAGAATTCCTTTAAAATTCCACCAAACACACAACATCACTTTTTTCGCATGCAAGTCAGGTTTTGGCGTGGGCTGTGGAGCCTCATTTTTGTCCAGCCATTGAGGCCATCTTTTCAAATTAACATACAGCACCCATTTTTCATCTCCGGTAACAATTTGCTCTAAAAACAGCAAACGGTTTTGACGAGAGAGGAGCGAACTGCAAATTGTGACTCTTTGATTACGGTTGTTGTCGGTCAACTCATGAGAAACTCATTTTCCAAACTTTTGGACTTTGCCAAGTGCACGCAATTGATTGGAAATTGTTTTTTGTGAACAATTTAAAGTTGTCGCAAGCTCTTATTGGGTAATTTGAGGATTTTGCACCAAAAGAGCTTGAAGAGCTTCTTGATCAAAATTGGACACACGGCCTCGACCACTCTTGTCATCTAACGAAAAATTTCCCTCGCGAAATTTCTCAAAACAACGCTGGCATTTTCTGGCACTAACTGCATCTTGACCAAGAGCACTACAGATGTTTTTTGCAGCCTCACTTGCTTTTCTCCCTAATTGGAACTCGTAAAGCATGCAGTGCCGAATATGCTCTTCATCCGCCATCTTCTTAGCCCTAGTTTTGCAACAAAAACCAAACCAAACACAAACTTTTTCAAGCAAAACTTGTTAATTGCACTTCACACGTCCTGTAGATACCACGTGTTTGAAGTTTATGTCAATACAAGTCAATGCCAAGCAAGATTTTAAA